TTCCCCTTTTTTTTTTTTTTTTTTTTTTATGGGAACCTGCCAGCAGCTGAGCTGGAACTGTGCAGGAACTGATGGAACTTGGAATTGCCACAGAATTGCTTCTATTATCGGTTTATTCATGTGTTGGATTTGTTTGCATTTTCATCACATGTGACTTGTGGGAAAATCAAACATTCATCAAAGTGATTAATGCAGAATTAAATTTGATTTCTGCCAAGTTTATTTTGTCCAGTACTCAAGGGGTCTCTGTGCCTTTTGCCCTGGGGGATGTTTGGGAGGGGCTTGTGGGAGTTGTCCCTGTCCCTGTCACCCCAGGCCATTCCCCAGTGGCTGTCCCTGTCCCTGTCACCCCAGGCCATTCCCCAGTGAATCTCCATCATTCTCACCCCAGGGAATGCCTGGGGTTCTCCCTCCCTCTCACCCCCATGCCAAGGGGGTGGCGGCCCAGTCTCTGTCCCTCTCAGCCCAGGGGATGCTCTGGGGTCTCTGTCCCATTGCCCTGGGGGATGCTAGAGGGAGTCTCCATCCCTCTGGCCTCAGGGAATGCTTGTGCAGGGCTGGGGACCAGGGGCTCTGTGTCCCTCTCCCCGCTAAGGGTGCTCGGGGTTGGGGGGCCTCTCTGACCTTCTCATCCCTGGGGAGGCCGGGGGGGTCTCTGTCCCTCTCAGCCCTGGTGTGACCCCACCCAAACATCATTGGGCTCAGAGGGACAGAGTCACCCCTAAACCCCCAGAAGGGCTGGACCTGGGATTTGGTTTGGGCTGAGGATTTAGGAAGGGGCTGGAGTCACGGCTGGGGTTGGAGTTAGGGCTGAGATTTGGATTAGAGCTGAGATTGGGGTTAAGGCTAGACATAGAATTGGCTTTAGGGCTGGCCCTGGATTGGGTCTGGGGCTAGATGAGTCTGGGACTGCGATGAGATTAAATACAGAACTGTGAGTGTGTCTAAATGTGGAGTGAGATTGAGACCAGGATCAGGGTCAGTTTTGGGACTGAGCTCACCCAGAGCAGGACAGGGGGGATGTCACTGCAGGATATCCCTGGCATCGTCCCAGCCCTCCTCAGGCACCTCCAAACATGGGGGGCAGCTGGGTGCTCCAAGATCCAGGTGCTCCCAAGCTGCCCCTGAATACCAGGCGAGAATTCCCTGAGTGCAGCCCTGAATGTGGCCCTTGGGGCTCTGGGATCAGCCCTCACATCCCTGTGGGAGCAGCTGCAGACAGGATGAGATTCTTTTCCCCCCCTTCCCTGCAGAAGGGTGAAGCCCAGCTGCCCTTTTCTTCTGGTGCCTCCTCCTCTCCTCAGCTGAGGATGTCAGACTCCCCAGGAGCAGGAAAATCCCCATTCCCTGTTTCCTTGTGGTTGCAGCCTGGAAGTCCAATCAGAATGAAGAACTTTCTGACAGCCCTGCCTAATGACACCGGGAGGAGGTTTGTGAGAAAGGGAGGAAATTGTGTTTTGATAGGAAATAAAGACACAAAATTATTTATTTCTGTCCCATTCATTTTCAGTCAATTGTAGTTCTGTTTTCTGAGTGCCACCTTCTCAGCTGATTGTGTTTGTGTCCTCCTGTCTCTCCTGCCTCTCTCTGCCTGCTCTGTTTCTCTCTCTGTGTCTCCCGAGACCCAGGGCAGTTCCACCAAAGACCCTGCCCTGATTGAATTCTCAAAACACAAGTTACAACAACCATGGGTGAAGTTATGAAGGCTGGCAGTGAAATGTCACTGTAAGATCTTGCTCCACTTGGCTTTCAGTCCATTCTTAAGATCTTTGCCTTCAAAGGCAGAAACATATTTTCCTGGCTGGGAACTGGGATTCCAGGCCCTGGGAGTGTGTGCCATGGATCCCAGAGGGGCATTCCCGAGGCTGCCAGGGTGCTGCTCCTGCCGTGCCCCACAAGGAGCTGTGCAGGGCCAGGGGACAAGGTCCAGCAGCTCTGTGGGTTCCCAGAGCAGGAGCAGGAGCGGGAGAATCTTGCCACTCGCAGCGCCCGCACACTGAGCTTGCAGCACCCCCTGCCCTGGAAGCATCGCCCCCAGCCCCGAGCCGCAGGTGAGGGGGGAGGCCAAGCTCGCCCCAGCTCTACCAAGGGGTCTCCAGGAGGATTTTTTTGGAGAGTGTTCAGAGCTGGCAGATCCTGGACTCGAGCCCCGGATATCTCCGGGCTCCCTAGAGGAGCTTTTTTGGGGGGAAAGGAGCTGCAATCGCCCCTCGGGAGGGTCCTGGTGGGTCCACGTGGGGATGGCCTGGTACCGACAGGGCAGGCCATTGGTTTTTGGGATCCCCATGAGAGCTGGGGCTGTGGAACGTGGGAGCCCCGGGGCGGGGAGAGGGGAAGGGGTGATAACGGAGCCAGGGGACCCCCGGCAGCCCAGAGATGAGGCGGGGATGGGACCCCCTGACCCTGACAAGGGCGCGTCCTGGGGTGACTTCATGATGCTTGTACCCCTTTTGTCTGTTTAGCCCAGAAATGAGTTCTACGCCTCTAAGGCTGGTTCTGAGAGCGAAGTGGGGGGAAGAAGAATTGTGCAGTTTGTTTTCAGAAACTGCACTCACTCCTCTACGTTCCGGCTCCTGGACTGTTGTGATGCCTTAAGGAGCTGGAACAGAGGCTAGAGGGAGTTAAGAGGAATAAAGTGGTGTCCTAGATTACAATATAAAGATGTATTCTATTCCCATCCTCAAGAGCTGTTGAAACCAGGAGGGATACTGTTTGTTCCTTATCTCCTGTTAATGGGCCCATCAATGCCTTGCCACATGACTCAGAGATAACTCCCTCCAGGAGCCATTTCTGTTTAATGGGTAATTAAGGACCCACCCCATGACTCAGAACCATATCAGCCCATTGTGAGATGCTCCGCCCAAGTAGGAGAGGAGCTAAGCATCCCCACCTGGATATAATCTGGGATTTGGGACAGAACAAGCTGTTCTTACCCACTGGTTTCCGGAGGCCAAGAGCTACTAGATCTTTTCTACAGGATCACCACTTCAACAAGACCATTTCATCTGGACTGCCACCACCATTCTAACTACCATTGTGTCAGTTTGTATTCTGTTTCTATCAGTGTTTTTTTCTTTTGCATTATTGCATGTATTTGGGTTTATTTTCCTTTTTTCATAATAAATTGTATTTCTGACTTGGAGTCTCTCACTGGTTTTGCTTTCAAACCAGAACATATATATAATATAATAAAATAATCAAATTTATATCTATGTGATTAAACATTGGTAACATGAAATAAGGGTGACAATGGCAATATGTCTGCTTTGGCTGCT